TATATATTTATACTTAAAACTTTTCAGTAGAGACAGACGCTATGAGTGCAATATTAATCAAAATTATTTAAAAATATATCATGTTAAAATGGCACATTTTGCTATGTTTAATTGTATTTCTGCATCATATCTAAATTATTTAACTTTTTCCAACTTATAAACTCGTGAAAAAGTATCAACTCAAGCCTTTGATGTTCATTTGATAAGAACATTCTTGTAGAAAACAGGAAAGGCAGAGGAAAATGATGGGACCCTTAAATAGGGTGATTTGGTAACGATTTTTACCCAGAAAACACTTGGAAAAAATATTGGCTATCCACTTGAAAATTTGCGTGACATAAAGTTGAATGTAAGAGTTAACATGAAGCCACAACAACATTGTTTTCAATATTTTACACCTAAAACATCGGTAACGTCAGTTGGTTTTGTAAAGTTTTTAGGAACCATGATTCCGTCTTGACTGTGGCAAACTCTAGTGTAAAATTCAATACTGATAGGGCCTTTTGGAGGTTCAGGGTGGGGATGTAATGTATTCCTAATGCTGCTGAAATGTTTGCCCCTGGTATCTTTCCATTGAATATAAACACATAGATTAATCAAGCATGTATAAATAAAAAAACTTCAAAGCTAGAAGGTGGAAACACAGAGCTTTTCTTTACACTCATTTGTCAATTTCTGATTCTTCTAAAGATTTTGATCCTTAATTACAGAAAACTGCTTACTAAGCAGAAAGAAATCCTTCCATATATATATGGCGATTGAATTATTCAGTTTACTGAAAAGGGACCTTACCAATTGGATGTTCCGAACACTGCTACAATTACAGTTCAGTGGTCCAAAAGCAATGAAGCAATGAGTCTTTTAGCCAGTTGGATGTTTTGGATATTTTTTAATTTAATAAATGTATTTTTGTTCAGTATTTCCCATTTTATTGAAATGGTTATATGCATATTTTCAGATTTCTTATTTTATTTTTTGGACTGTGTCACACTTTAGCCTCTGGTTTACATCTGAGAATATTTTTAGATATTTTACAAATTAAACCTATTGTACATTTAATTCAAATATTAACCAGACCAATAAACCATGTCAAATTAATTTAGGTAATAATTTACTTAAAAGTACTTTGAAATGACATGATATTAAAAATTCCCTCTATTCAATTAAATATGTGGGTCATCATTTTACATCTGATCATTATGATTGAATAACAAAAAAAGGAAAGACTGTGCACATTTGAAATGAATTACTATAATGTTAATATACATGATAAAACTCCACAGAAAATAAAAGTATAAATATAAGAATGTCAGAGTGCAGGATTTTGGAGGAATTTCGCAAATTTTTTTAAAAGACCCGCCCTCTCCACTTTAAATAAAAAATGCTATTGCACAACCCTGTACCCGCTTCCAAGAGGGAATGCCTATTAAACGTGTGTGTTGGAGCCAAATGCTTGATTTATGATTGAATATTTATTTCTAGTTTACTATTTTTGTCTGGTTTTGGTATGATATATATATGAACATGAAATATTTTGGTTTGAAGTATAAGTTGACTGACTTAATTATGAAATTATGAATTTGTTTAGTTGTGTTTTGCTGCTGTGCATAATTTACGCTGTTTCTCGCCTCCGCCCCTTCATTATGGACAGGTGACTGCAGCACCTGGATTATATTGGAGTTGGCTATTGGGTTCAGTCAGCGCAGCCATACAGTTTCTGACCGCTTTTGATTATCGTTGTTTTTTTGAGTGGCAAAAAAGGAACAAAATGAGCCGATATGATCTGCCTGTCACGTCATATTGCGGTAAAAAAAATAAATCTAAGTTTGTTTTTATTTTGGAAAATAAAGCGTCTTGATCAAGAGGAAAGAAAGTTTGTTGGATTGCATGGTCACATTAATCAACATCTGACAGATCTGAAGTGAGTCTAACTTGGATGCTTCTGAACCAAGAGGCAAACGCATCTTTATTAGAAAGATTGCGCTATTAGCGTGCGAGAGCGTGCACTAGGGGCACATTTCTCCTTGTCCACGCTCTGCTTAAAAGTTGCTGTTTGCATTGCTCATACAAGCTTACTTTCCAAAAGAAGATTTGCAATTTTTCCACTATGTTAGACTCACCACCATTAAGTGGAAATGAGGACGATCACGCAGGAAGGCCTTACGTCAACAAATCACCAGAATGATTGACAATTAGGAGGACCACTTATTTTGATGATCCACCTGGAAAAAAGAACATCCTCCACTATATCCTCAAAATGTCACTTTCTCATCAAATAAATCAGACACACACATATTTGTTACTTCACTGCAAGGACACTTTAATTCATCAGAAGCAATAAATATTCACATCTCAGTTCTCTATTCTTCCAGTACATGTAATACATACACAAAAAAGGAAATCATGTTTAAAATAATATCCATAAGTGCACTGACATATCAACTTTTCTCAGGCCTTGAATTTATAATCGCTGTAAGTCATTCTCACGCCAGCAGTAAGAAATAATAAGAAAAAGAAGAGGTCAATATTCCCTTTGGACAAATAATTCTTGTCCCCGTCTTTGCTTTAAATGTGCATACCTAGTGGCACTCACATGCACGCACCTGAATACAGAATGGGAGCAGTTCATCCCATAATTATAAGAGGCCTATGTATAGTTTAATATGTACATTCATGTTTATACAGTACAATCTATTTAATAAGTGCAGATATATTCATGCAAGAATAGTTAAAAAGGACACAAGAAAAAGATTAGCCGACAAACACTTAGAAAATTATTCCTTTTAACATTCTGAATTCCCTCCAAACTTTCTTAAAATCCATTTTAAAAATAGTAAATCTTCTTGAATTATGCTTTTTCATTATCTTACTGCAGAGACATTTTTAATTTTGTCCTTTATGATTTCTAATCTTCTGGATCAAAAGATGTGTAGCTTCCTCGCGGTAATAAACGGCACTGAAGAATGACTAGATCAGTGTTCAGGGGTAACACTTATAGCCCACAAGAAAATCAATAAATAAATTAAAAAAAAGAAAATAAACACAAAATACAGTATGTACCTGTAGGCTATTTTACATTCTTAACCACTGTAGAGATTTCACAAAAAAAGCCCTAGGTCAAATGCCGAGGAATCAGAAAATATAAGACATTTTTCAAAGTCAGATAAGATAAGGGATTAGAAGAAGGCCATTTCGGACTTAAGACCTCACATGTGCAAAACCACAAAACTTCAACACACAAAAAAAGACACAATAACCCAAAATCTGATGCCTGCAAGGAAATAGCCACAGTATTAGTCACAAATTCTAATACTGTCTTCCAGAGTATAAATGTGATTAATTTGAGGTTTCTAGTGATTTATTTGAGCCATTCTATTTGCAGGGTGAAATAATCATGCGGTATACCTATAACGATAATTTTAAAAAAGCATGCACTGGGTTAACAAGTTCAATTTGTCGTGGCATTTCATCTAGACAGAGTAAATGTGATAAAGCAGGCCTAATTACATAAGTTATTAATAAATAAATTATATTTAATTCTTGTTTCCTTTAACCAGCTTCTATTATCCTTATGTCCCATGATCTGACCACTCTTTATGGCAAAATTAGCTTAAGTAAACTTAAGTAAGCATTATCTCTTCCAGTAGCCAGACCTCATAATAGAGGTAAATGGGAGTGGTGGCCTAGTGGTTAGGGCATTGTGCTTGGAATCCAGAGGTCCTGAGTTCCCACAGACTGCCACACTGGGTCCCTGAGCAAGACCCCTAACCCCGGGGGCCGAACAATGGCAGCCTACTGCTCCCCAAGGGGATGGGATAAATGCAGAAAGTTCATTTAATTGTTCTGTAATTGTAATTACACTGTAATGAAAATTGTAATTACAGTGTATTTACACTGTGTGTATATATATATATATATATATATATATATATATATATATATATATATATATATATATATACACACACATATATATATAATATTATTTTCTTTTAATCTAATGTGTAATTACAATTGAAAAAAAGCTGGAAAATAAAAAAAAATGATGCTAGTATCACAGTATTGGAGTGTTTTGCTGCCAGTAAAATTTTTTGATTTTAAAGGATGTTTGGAGTTTTAAAGAATTATAACTACCACCAAAGTATTAGCTGTTGAAACTCAGACACAATTTCAGGTTTAAACTGAAGAGGAACAACAGCATAGGTGCAAGTTTAGGAATAGATAATGCAGGCTGATTTTACATGTTAAACGCATTGAAAAATATACCATATCCATGCCAGAAAGTCAGGCAGTTTACATAACCTAGGCCAGTTCTGCCAAAACAGTGGTCACATATGTTGCCAAGATAATGCCTGAAACTTAGTGGCTTTTAAAAGCATCTGCTTAAAGTCCAACAGGATGAGGGGCCATTAGGAAAATATTAGTGGGGGTTTATCCAAATATTTAAAACTGTACAGTTAAGATAAAATTCACAAAATGTTCAAGCTTTTTCACCTAATTCTTGCTATTTAAAATATTATGGAAATGATGTGTTGCATAATCATTCATCCCTGGAATAAAATAGGTACAATGAATCATCAAAAGCCCAAAATTAATCTGACATTCAAGCAGGCGATTACAGTTTGCAAAAATCTAACCTGAACTTGGTTGCTGATAATTG